ACTCGCTAAGGGATTATCGTGTGTAGGTAAAGGGGGGCCCGTTCAGCAGAATGCGTATGAAATATAGAAAGATTCTGAAAATGGGTGGGGGCCCGCACACTAGGGGGCCCGCTTTGGAGGCGATGACCCCCCCGAAACGAAATCCTGGCTGCGCCACTGATTCAACATGGGAGCACTCGACGTCCGTCGGCGGCCGCCCATCGGGGGTTAGATTGGGACTCGATGGTACTCAGCGGAGAACTCAGCTGTACGATCGCAGCAAACTCATCCGACGTGACTTGATTAGCGTATGACGTGACTCTGCAATGACTCGGTATGGCTCGCCTGTCGTGACTCATTCCTGCACGCCCCCATTTGAAGAGTAACAGTCGCTATCCGCCCGTGACAGCTCGTGACGGTAGAGCGATAAAGCGGCGGAAGAAGAGCAGTGATTGGCCACGTGCGTCACGCTACTCCCCTCCTCTCTGCTTCCCATGTGTTCTACTCCTCCCTCTCTCACGAGTCGTCGACCCATGACGCCCTCCGACACAGTTGGCCGCTTCCGCGTGGCCTCTTGTCGACACCAACGGACCGACGGGGCGGGGCGGGGGCGTCAGCTGAGTATTGATTGTCACGTGATGCTCGTCGGCGCCGACGCGGTGCCGACGGACGCCGGCGCCGGCGCCTCGGAGGAGCCCCACGTGGACTGTGGTCCCAGTACCGGCGGCGCGCCGGTCAGGTGGGCCGTGCAGGGGTGAAGAGTGACGGATGGTGTCTGCGCTGACCTGGCGACCTGGGTTGTAAGTTCCTGGCCTGTCCCATCCTGTCATTATTTTCTGGCAGGACACGCTCTGCGTCGATGTGACCTGAGTTTGACCTGGCTTGTCCCGACCTGACCTGACGTGCCATTTTCTGTGTTTATATTAGCTTACTCGTCCTGAGCGATATCCTGCCCTTCCATTTCCTGAACTGTCCTTCGTCCTTCCCTTCTCTGCCCTGTAATAACTTTCAAGTCATCCTGTTGTGTTCTGAGTTCCCGCTATATTAGTCCATCGATAGTGCTAAGTCATACCTCGGCGCCGCGCGTCGCCCGAAGTGCGTGCGTCTGCGTGTGTTTGTGTTTGCGCGGCGCGGTGGGCCGGTCGGTGTTTGCGGCGTCGAGTACGTAGGAGGGCGTTGGCGGAACTTCACTGCGGGGCACCGGCGCCGTTCCGTCGGCGGGCGGTGGCTGCGCCGAACAGCTGGTGGCCACCGGGGGCAGTGGGCGGAGGGCGGGGGCGGTGAGACCGGGTCAGCCACCTGTGTGCCGTCTCCGCGGTGTTTGACCCCGGCGCCACCAGCCTGCCACGCCCCGTGTCCATCTGTCTCGGTACTCTGTCTAGCTGCCACTCCTCTGTCATTCATCACTCTTTCTCTCCCTCCCTCCCTCCCTCCCTCCCTCCCTCCCTCCCTCCCTCCTCCCTCCCTCTCTCTCTCTCTCTCTCTCTCTCTCTCTCTCTCTCTCTCTCTCTCCATCTATCTGTCACTCTCTCTGCCCCTCCTTCTCCCCTCCCCCAATCGTCCCCAGCAGTTCAGGAGGGCTCCACCTTCGAGACCCACTGTTCTTCCGCTCCCATAATCTGACCTGAATAGCTATCCACCACAGCAGACAGTGCATGGCAGCGCCTCATATTTCCCTACCATTCCTGAACGGCGCCGAGTGTGAAATTTACCGCCTATGGGCAGACAGTTGGCGACTCGTGTTCCCATGACCCTCGACTCGGCGCTCCCCGCTGGCTGGCCATGTCTGCCGCGGCGGCGGCGGACGGCGGTCTCAAGTTCGGCGCCAGTAGCGCTGCTGCAGTGCGCACAGCGTCAGTGCCGTGCTACCTTGTGCGAGAGGAGGCAGCGTCCTGTGTGTGAGCGTTGTGCAAAGTGTGCTAACAGCTGTGCGAGGCGGCGCATTACGCAAGTGCGAGATCGGGCGTGGCGTTTGAATTGTCAGTGTTTCGATGGTCCGGTCGCTCGTCCCTATACCTTCCTCGCCCAGCCGCGTGGTCCTGGCAGGAACGGCCTTGGCACGAACCCCTCCCCTAATGGCGCGTCCTACGGGCGCATTCCGGCGCGCCGGGCGGCATAAGTGGCGCTCTTTTTGCCGCAGTGCGGACGGCGCGACTTTGAAACCGCCTGACCACCGCGGTGGCGCGGCGGCAGCCGCGATGTTCGGAGTTCACTGCAAACTGTAGTGCTCTCAGCCGCGACCGAGTGGGCCGGTCGGCAGGCCATGCTCGCTGCTGTCTGGCGACCTTGCCCGGGGCCGGCTGGGGACGTCCGACACGGGTTCCCGCGGCAGGGACGACTGGGCACCACCGTGCAGTGCAATCTGCCGGTTTGAGACTGTGAGGCGTGGGCGGTGGCAGTGGAAGGGTGGGGGAGGATGTGGGTACGACGGGCCCGTGTCAAATCTGGCGGTGACTCGTGGCCTGTGAGAATTTTGCAAGGCCATGAGAGCTGAGATCGAGGTGGTGGGGGATGGTGGACACTATGTAGACTGAACGCTGAACGGCGGGCGCGGCCGCTGGTTCTCCAGCCGCGTCCGGTCTAGCTCCTTCCCACCACTTTCCACCATGGCCCTGCGGGAACGACTGGTCCGAGTTATGAACCACTGCGGTCATCCATAACTTATTCTCCCGGCCTCGGGCCCACCTGCTCCCGACCGTCTGATCTTACCGGCATTCGATGCACAGCTGCCAGCCGCCGCCAGCCGGCCACTGTACCCTCAAACAGGGCCTTTGTAGAACCAACCGGAGGCCGCCGCCTGTCCGAACCTACACCGGATGGCGCGGCTGTGCTCTTTGTAGCCGGCCATTTGGCTGTCGTCGGATGGCGTTCGGTGTTCTGGTTCCCAGCAGTCCGGTCCTCCCCTGCCCTTCCCGGAATAGGGTCGGCGATTTTATGGCGGTCTGGCCTTGGGTCCCACCGCTCTCCCTGTGGTCCCCCTGAGAACGACGATGTCCCTAGGCTGTATAACATGTGGTCCGATCTGGCTCCTTCCTTGCGCTTCTTCTTCAGCCATCAGCCATGAGGTATACTGGCTGTGTCTGGTACCTACACATTTAGCCCATGAATGATTCTATTCATTGTCGTTATGTATATTTCCTACTTATATATTTCGATTTTATTTAGTAGTATACATTATTTATTTCTTATCTTGTAGCTATTTATATGAATCTTTATCGGCTTTATGGCTTCGTCTCCCGGATCGATTCCCGTATCCATTTTCGTCCTTCCGCCTGGCACCTACCTTCCCTTCTTTCTCCGCCTATCTGAACCCTCGTACGGCTTCCCCTTCCCATTCCTTTCTGACCCGACACTGTCGTATGCGTATCAGGGCGGTCAGGGCGCGCTTGTAACAGCACCCGTCTCCCTGTCGTGTACCCGCCAGGTACCGCAGACAAAAGCTTTTACCCGTACGCCATAATTGTACTAGTTTCAATGGTGGAGCTACTTTTGTGAAACACCAACATTCTCTCTCTTCCTCTTTCTTTCCCTCTCTCCATCTCTTTCCTCTCTCCCTCTCTTTCCTCTCTCTCTCTCTCTCTCTCTCTCTCTCTCTCTCTCTCTCTCTCTCTCTCTCTCTCTCTCTCTCTCTCTCTCTCTCTCCCCCTCTCCTTCTCCATCTCCATCCCTTCTCTCTCCCCCTCTCTCTCTCTCACTCTCTCTCTCTCTCTTCCCGCCGGAAACAGCTCTACCTGCTGCTGAGTCATGGCTGTCTGCTCCTCACTGAATGATAATAGTCCGTTAAGAAAGAGGGGCGTGCCAACAACCTTAGAAGGGCCGACTATTCCAATTCCACACCCTCTCCCGACCATCTCCCCATTTAGCCTTCACCACTACATTCCCCTCTCCCCACTCTCTCTCTCTCTCTCTCTCTCTCTCTCTCTCTCTCTCTCTCTCTCTCTCTCTCTCTCTCTCTCTCTCTCTCTCTCTCTCTCTCTCTCTCTCTCTCTCTCTCTCTCTCTCTCTCACTCTCTCCGCTCTCTTTCCCTCCCTCTCTCGCCCATCTCATCTCCTCTATTCTATCTTCATCTCCCTCTCAGTCTCTCTCCCTCCCTCTCCTCGTCTCTCCCCTCTTTCCCTCTCTCCCCATGTAATAACCAGCTTCCCACTCGCGCGTCGCGCCTCTCCTATCGCTCAACATCCGGCGGCCGTTTGATCCCATCACCTTTATCAATGGCGCCCTTCCAGCGGATGGCCCTGATTGGCGGCCCAGTCCTCTGTCCCCCCGAGAGCAGGGGCGGGGCGGAAGGGGAGGGCGGCGCCCCGTGACGATGGCGGCGTCGGTCGGGTTGTTATGTTGCATCCTGCTAGCCGCGATAATCTTTCGTCGGGGCTGGTGAAATCATTGCGGCCCTCCTCGGAGACCCCCACAGCGGCAGGGGTGGTGGCGGCGGTGTTCAGTTCTGCACAGTGCATCCGGCCGGGTAGGCTGTGAGAGACTTGGCAGTCATTGCACTGGTAGAGCCAGCCTCCACCGTCGTGTGCCGCTGCTGACCGCTGTCTGGCAGTGTATCTGTCAGTATCTGCCGCTATCTGCCCGGGAGTCTGCCAGAGGCTGACGACCGGACCAGCTGACCGCCCCCGCCCCCGCCCCCGCCCCCGCCGCCGGGGATGGGCCGGTCGGCCCGACGCGCCAGATCGATCAAAGCACAGCGCCGCCGCCGCCGCCGCTAGCGTCGCCGACGGCGGCACACTTGTGGGCGCGTCCGCGCGAGCGACGCTGCCGACGCGGCGCGTCTCGACGGGCCGGACCAGTCGCGGTGCGGTGGACGCTCGGAGGGGGGAGAAGGGTGGCGTGGCGACGCGCAGTGAACCGTTTGGGAGACTTGTTCAGTTTGGGTGAATTGAAGTGACTAAGTGCCTGTCGTTCCGACCAGATGACCCGCTTGTTGACCCTCGTGACCCATCTTTTCCGCAGTGATCCCAATACCCAAGAACCCAGTAACCCAGTACCCAAGTAACCGCCTATCCTTTACCCTCAGCGATACTCAGTGAAGCAGTGGCGACTGATCAGAAGACAGCATCTCGTGTGCTTGCGGTAACCTACTGATGACCCAGTGACAATAACCAGTGACTTGACCTCAGCGCCGCGCTCGTGACCGGGCAGTGACCTCAGTGACCGAGCGGTGAACTGGGTGACCGAGCAGGGACCTCGGTGACCGGGCAGTGACCGCCGGTGTCGGTGCCGCAGCGCCATGGTCTCCGGCGTCAGCTGCGCCGGTGGCGGCGGTGCCGATGGCGAGGCGGCGCCGCTGGCCAGCACGGAGGACCTGAGCGGCTCGGCGCTGGGCACCCCGCGCACCCTGGTGCGCCAGCAGCCGCCCAGCCGGCCGCCGGGTCCGGCGGCGCGCGGCAGGGACGTCTCCAAGCGCATCTACGATCAGATGCGTCTCGGAGAGGTGGAGCAGCTGGAGCTACAGGAGGAGCCGACGGACTCGTGAGTGACCAGCGCTGGCGCGCGGGGCTTCTCAGCTGCGGCTCGCCGGCTGCAGCCGGAGCAGCTGCGGCCGCCAGCTGCTCTGTAGCGTAGCGCGGTGCCCCGCCCCGCCGCCCGCCCCCGCCGGCGGGCGTCGGGCTTTGGCAGATATGCATCGTCGGGGTGCCAGATATTCGCTAGCTCATTGCCAGGTGCTTCCAGGCGGCGCTGCTCTGTCGAGCGGCGGAGTCCTCCCGCCCTCTCCCCGCCGCTCCCTGGGGGTGTTGTCCCGCGCCGCACAGCGCACCCGCAGCGCACGAGAGCTACTCGTTATCGTCCATTAACTCTGTGCCGTGCTGCAGGGGCTCTGGCATACTTTGTCTTGTCCGTCGGTCGGGAAGAGAGGTCTGTTTGGGCAGTGGCTTGGCCGTGTCGGGGCACCGCTGCGGCTTTTCTTCGTAGCGCTCGTTGCTTTTCGTAGTTGTTGTAGAAAGTAAAACGGGAACAACCACGTGTAGACTGTATATATGGACCGCGCGGCCGGCCAGCCAGAGCAGGACTGGCTGGCCGGCACACTCACCACACCAGCCCGTCGCGGCGGCGGCCATCACTCAGCGGCGGGTGTCAAGTGAAGAAGACGACCCGGCCCCATTGTTCGCCGACGCCGCGGCGGGCTCACAGGGCACGCTGCAATGCCTGACTCACATACTACAGTCACATTCGATACCACAGCAACCGCCGACACACTCCCACCTGATACTCAAGAATCATACTAGTACATTTTCAGTGGACCACACTGCAGTACGCACGCACCACTAACGGACCATCCGACTCTGCAGGCGGGCGCTCCGCCGCAGCAGCACCGGCTCGACCTGAGCCGGCTCGGCTGCAGGAGGCTCAGCCACAGCCGGCTCGGCTGCAGGGGGCTCAGTCCCCGTCTGCTCCGTGGTGTGCTGCAATGTCTCAGGCACAGCACGCACGGTGGTTCCATTGTCTACAGCCGCGTCAGCGCCGTCCTCGGTTGCCTCCCAGTGACAGTCCACGTACAATGGCGGCTCGTCATCGACACTGTCACTGTCCCCGTCGCCGTCATCGACACTGTCACTGTCCCCGTCGCTGTCCTGCCGGTCACATCGGTGACGAACGTTTCTGACGTGCCATGGGACCCCATCGACCTCGACTACCTGTCGCGACACCAAGCCCGTCACCGTCCCGCGCCGTGACATATCTGTGCAGCGTGTCCCACGTCGGCGCACCCACACCCTGTCCCCCACTCTGAGACGCGCCCCGTCAGATACAAGTGGGGGTGACCCCAGAGCCTCCGTGGCGTCAGATAGCGGCGGCCTAACACGACACCGGTCGTCAGACACGAGTGAGTGCCGCTCGCTAGCTTCAGCGGCGTCAGACGGCGCGGACCGAATACAATCCCGCACGGTGTACTGATACACCCCGGATGCCGGGGCGGACTCTGCCGTCACTCCATCGCGCGGGGTCACGTTGTAAATGTGAACCGCTTCGGCCACGGTACACTGGCGCCTCGCGGCGATGACTTTGATTGTCCGATGGCACCGCTCCACCACACCATTCCCGCCTGGCTCGTGGACAGCTCGGAATCTGAGAGCCACTCTCCACCGCGCCGCGAGCACAGCCATATGACGGCCACGGAACACCGTGTCATTGTCTGTCAGGATCTCCTCAGGGGCTCCGCGCTCGAGAAATAGCTGCTCTAGGTGGCCAACAATCTCGATGGCGTTGGCGCGACGCAGCGAGCGCCATACGCAGAAGCGCGATGGCCCACAGTCAATGACGGTGAGGTAGTTCTGTCCGCGGTGATGGGTGACGTCGATGGATATGCGCTGCCACGGGACAGACACGCCGAGCGAGCCATGTCTCCACCGCACCGGTGCCGGGTCAATCGAGCGGCACGCGTCACAGTTCTCCACCACCGCACGAGCCATAGCCCGGGTGACGTCACGCGACACATCACGGCGGGCAAAGTACAATGTCCGACGGACACCGGGGTGGCCGGCCCGATCGTGTGACTGGCACACGGCTGCACGGAGCTCGTCCGCCGTACCGCCGTCGGCACGCCCAGCGGCGGCACCGGCCAGAGGCGGCGGCTCGGAGACGACCGCCGCACTGACTCCGGGCGATGGAGACTCGCACTCTCGAGTCACACTCACGTTACGAAGCCAGTCTTTGGGGACTCGCGTCAGTGCGTCAGCTCGGTTCTCAGCCGACCGCACGAGCGTCACCGACAGTCGTAGCTGCAGCTCACCGACCAGCTGACAGATGATCCCCACACGTCGCCGAATCAACAGCTCACCGTGCGCCTTTGTTCTGAGGCGCGCGCGGCCGCTGATGGCGTCATCAAGCCAGCGATGAACAGTGGCCGAGTCGGTGCGGAGATCGATTGTCCGCGCTCCCCAGGCGACAGCCAGGTTGACGCCTCGGATGGCGGCGTCCAGCTCGGCCATGTTGATGTGCGTGGCCTCATTATGTCTTAGCCAGCACGCGTCCTCGATGACGTCACCGTCCGCTGACTCCAGCACGACTCCGGTGGCCAGGGAGCTGGCGTCCGTCCAAACAGCCATGGCGTCACCCTCAACGCACCACGTGCCGCGGGCTGGGTCGTCACCATTCAAGCGGCCTGCAACATAGTCCAGCTGAGCACGCAGCGCTGCGTCATCGGTGACGTCATCCCACGCCCGAGTCATCTGGTTCACACGCCGTTTGAGCCAGGCCACCGCAGGCCTGAGCCATCCACACACGGGCAGGTGTGCCACCAGCCGCCCACACCACGAGAACACGGCACGGCGCGTGACAGATGCCGGCGGCGCTCCCACCGCGTTGTCCCGAGTCCACTGCAGTTTGCCGCCCTCTGCCTGGACGCGCAGGCCCAGCAGCCGAGCTCCGCTGGCTGCCCGCTCTGGGGGCTTACAGTTCAGCCCGAACTTCTCGAAGTGCGCCACCACACTGTCTGCGCTCAGCACGTCTTCGTTTACCAGAAGATCGTCCACATACGGAAGGACGGCACGCTGTACGTCCGGGTCCTGCTCCAGCACGGACCTCACAACGGCCTTCATTATCTGAGGGGCTGTATTAAGGCCAAAACCTAAGCGTGTCAGGCAAAACCTCTGGCCTCGAACCATCACAGTCTGGTACGGCCAGAGCCGCTCCTCTACATGCACTTGCAGGTAGGCGCGCTTTAGGTCTATCACCGCCACGTTTGCGCCATGACGGCGCCACTTCCGGAGCTGATCCGCACACACATCAGCATCGGCTGTGTGAGCCGATACAAAACCGTTCAGCTCGCGGTAATCCATTACCGGGCGCACTTTGGCCTTGTTGCTCTGCTGCACAGCCATCAGCGGCACCAGTCCCTTCGCCGCCCCATGGCGGTCCTCATCGTACGGCACTAGCCAGCCCTGTGCGATCCATGCGTCCAATTCCGCGTCATATTCACGGCGTGCGGCTGACGGCACTGTATACTGGGCGACAGTGTTCGTCAGGCACTCGGGACCTTCGCCGTCACGCCATTTCCAGGCCACGGTCCATCTCCGCTCCGCCGAGTCAAAGCACACACGGAAGTCCGGCGCATCCACGCCCAGTGGCTCACTGCACACCGCTCCACAAAAGCGGACCTCAGATGGAGAGAGCACGGTCACGCCACCCAGTGCAGAGACGCCTGCGATCCCGAGGACCATATCCACTCCCAGAGGCCGCTTCTCCACCACCACCGTCTCGAGTGTGCCGCGGTGGCCCGTCGGCGCTTCCACGACCACGGCGCCAACACCGCAGCACTCCAGCTGACCCCCACTGATGGTGGTCACGCGCACCTGCCGCGGTCTCCACTGCGTACAGAGGGGAGCGTAAATGATGTTCTCCGTGCTGCCGGTGTCAATCAGGACGCTGCACTCGCGGCCTTCCACCCTCAGCCGCGTGATGGGCAGCGCACCGCTCAGTGCTGCGCAGGAGAGGACGGCGGTGCTGACCTGTCCTCCCCGGTTCCGTTTCCCGATCGCTGCTGGCACCTCGCCGCGATGTGACCGAGCTCCCCGCAAGCCCAGCAGCGCATGCGGCGCGGAGGGCGCCGAGGCCGACTACGCGGCGAGGCAGGACGCTGGTCGGGGGACGGTGCCACGGCCCGTTGCTGCACTGCCGCCGCTGAGACTCGCTCACTGCTGAGAATGGCTCGTGCGCGAACCACGATGGTAGTCAGGTCCAGTCCCTCAGCCTTTGAGCCGGCGCGAATGGTCTGGCGGACGTCGTCCGGCAGCCCCGCGACGAACGCGCAGGTCAGCGCGCGCTCTGGCAGTCCGCCGAACAGGGCCGCCAACCGCCGCAGGTCGGCCAGAAACACGTCAGCTGACTCCCCCGGCCTCAGCCGCCGTGCTGAGAAGGCTTCGTACGCTGCGTGCTGGTCAAGGGCGAAGGCTGCATACAGTGCGCCGCGGACGGCCACCAGCGAGGACTGGCTGTGGGCGGGCAGCTGTGACCAAACAGCGAACGCACCGCCCGAGAGCCGCAGCGGCAGCACTGACTCCACCGGCACACCACGCAGCCGACACAGCATCTCAGTCCGGCCAAACCACTCCACGACGTCGGTGCTGCCGTCATACTCGGGGATTAGGCGGACGTCGAAGGGTAATGGCGGCAAAACGACTGGGGCCGCCGGCCGCTGACGGCCAGGCGACTGGCTGGGGGCGCCGCTACTGCTGAGGTGACTGGCAGCCGCCGCTGCTGCCGGCCAGGTGACTGACATCACCGGCCCTGTCACTGACGTCAGCACCGTCTCTGACGCGGAAGCTGTCGTCGTCATGACGTCTTCACTCTGGTGTAAGGCCGAAATAGCTTGTAGAAAGTAAAACGGGAACAACCACGTGTAGACTGTATATATGGACCGCGCGGCCGGCCAGCCAGAGCAGGACTGGCTGGCCGGCACACTCACCACACCAGCCCGTCGCGGCGGCGGCCATCACTCAGCGGCGGGTGTCAAGTGAAGAAGACGACCCGGCCCC